CCACGCTAAGAACTCCTTAACACAAACTGCGGAGAAATCTCTCAATGCTGTATTCGAGGTATCTTCTAATCCGCTAAGAATTGCATTCAATAACTCAATGGTATCTGGACTCTCAAATGTCTTGTTACCCGTGAACCAATGTATAGTTTGGAGGGTCAGGGGACGGAACAGCTGTACGCTCACCTCCTCTACATCACACCCTAGTTTCAACATAGCAGGAAAGATATGTGAATAGAGCCTACGCTGTGGAGATCTCTTCTTAACTGTGTCAGGTTGAGTAGCAGAATATCCTATCATGTATATTGTTATAGCATGTAACAGCTCGCATGCACATACCTTGCTCTGTCTGTCACTGGAGTGTAGAGCTAGATCTATGACACGAGGGAGAAATGGATCCAAATATATAACAGGTTTGATGTCCTGGAAGGGGATCATGTATTTCAGATGTAAAGAAGTGTCCCATGAAATGAGGTGAGGATTTGGACCTCTACTAATGAGGAATGAGTTCGTTTGTCCCCCAAGAGACCCGAGGAACAGCACAATACGATGTCTTATCTTAGACAGCTGAGAGGACAGGTCACGTACTTCACTCTTGGTATCAGCTGTTCGGAGCTGCTTAGCAGACATTTTACTGAACCTCTTACTGCCACTTAACGCGGTTATAAGTGCTCTCTCATTTGAAAGAGATTCAGCACCGGCATCAGCTGACGTGGTGAGATAGTCATTGAGTGCGGGGAGGATATCTGGTATGTGTTTGAGTATCACGTCAGATTGTAGAGTTAATAACCATTCTTCTAGAGTGTCAAGAGCAGTCTCTGCTAGTGGCAAATGGCTTAAACCAACTTCAAATGCTTTCTTGATAGCAGGTATAACAGCTGGAAAGTCCCTCTCTACAATCTGTATAGGGAATGAAAGAATGAGATGAAGAGAGGCTGCTAGCATTTCTCCTTTGAGCTGCGAAAGAGTTAATAACTGTTCGGAGAGGAATTTTTTGAAAAGTATAAAAGCATCAAAATGTAATGTCTCTTGTTCAATCTCCATTCTGTCCTCGTTATCGAAGTATTTTAGTTTCCTACAGACAGACATACAAGTAGTGAGGAGCTTTAGAAACCCAGAGACATGAGGATATGTGTGTGACAGTATTATTAACATCCTGCCGAACGGTAGCACCCAATGAGAGAACATTTCTAGTTGTGCTGAGGGTAAGAGCTCTCCTGTGAAGTCTACAAGGTTCAAAAAGAATTGATACTCATTCGGGTTCTTAGGTTGTAGAGTTGTGAGATCATCTAGACTATTTGTCAATTCAGAATCCTGTGTAGAGGTTGTAGACTCAGTAGAAAGATCCAATTTATCAAGGATCAATAGGATAGCATGGATAACTTCATCGTATATGACTCTATACATTCCTTCTGCGTTAGGAAAGTCTAGTAAGAGAACTGCTACTGTTGGTGTACGTTGAGGATCGATCAGGTTAAGCCAGAGGGGTAGAAAGTCCTGGTACGTGCTGTCTCTCGCAGGGAGGAGGAGGTCTCCCTCGTTCTCAGGTTCTGAGGTAGCCTCTAGCGGTAGGATCTGACTAGGGAGAGCATGGGTACAGGTGAACAGTAGTCCCTAGGGTGCAAAATATAAATTCAGTAAACAGTTGGTAAATTGAATCCTCACTTGGTAGATAATGTTCTGTAAAAGTTTCTTTAACATTGTCTGTGAAGAGATGAGGGATAGAAGGGCACGAGAGAGAGAAGTAAAGGCAGGCTTCTGGTGTTTGGGAATTATTCTAGGGAAAAATTCGAACAGCATTATGATCAGCTGTTCCAGACAGGTGCCAAATGATTGATTGACACATCCCAGTTCTTTGGCTATACTAGCGAATGCCTCAAGGAAGGAAGGGAGTTGGTATACCCTCTCGGAAGCACTGTCTTCATTCTGAATTATCAGTAACTTGTCCGAGCGTCTGACTATCTCATTGACTAGCGTTTCAACTTCTTTAGGTTTTAGGAAGTGACTGCATGCACTGGCGAAGTACCCATACCCCCTAACAGATATCCCCACCTTCTTAGTAGAACTAGAAAGATCATGTAGAATGTTACGAAATTGTTTTATGAAATACATTAGGAGAGATTTGCAGAGAGCTTGATCTGTGTCGGGCGCTTCTAAGAAGTGTTGTGATATTTGGTAGAGGAAACTCTCCAGAGCTGATAAGCCATCATGTCTATAGATAATACGAATGGCTATATGCCTTATGTGTCACATCCATAAAATGTATACTAACTTTATATTTAGAATCTCATCTTAATTAAATTAGCTATTACTGTCTCTTAATTCACATAATCACACAAATCTCATAACACTCACTTAAGTTCCTTATTGTTGTGATCCAGTAGCTGTAGAAGGAAAAGGAATGTAGCTTGATAATCCGCGACTAGAAAAGGTCTAAATTGAGCTCCATGTTGTGCTAGGAGTTTCAGACCCGCTCGTTGCACCTCGTATCTTGTCAGTGGTACCTGGGGGTCCGCCGCTTTCCTAGCGTATGAATAAATATCTTTAGCATACCTACTTCCTTCCTCTGCACTCTTCGAGAATGATCGGAGATAATGGGTTAATCCCCGGAGACACCCGGCTATTACTGGCATGTCAGGACCTTTCTTACTATCCATCTGACTCTTTAATACGCCTAGTACGATTCAAAATTGAAAATTATACACTCTACACCCGTGATCTCAACACACGGATATATGAAATTACCCACTTTATCGAGGTGTGAAGTTGTACGAATATGGTACCAAAATTTGGTGAAATAAACAATTTCAATAATAGTTAACAAACCCAGGAACAGAGTGACTAATCTATCCTCTATAGTAGTAGCTAACAGATAGTAACATTCAGCTAACTTCCCCAAGAGTTCATAGAGACTTCCTCTAGCTCCAGAGGACAGTTTAGTACTCTCATGAAGTGCTGTGTTAAGACAACGGTCCAGTAGGTGTTGGACCCTCTCTTGCGGACCTAGGGGTAGCTTCTTGTCCAAGAGGACAAGTAGTAGGTCCAATGATATCATCCTTACCTATAGAGTTTGTAGCTCATACCAGTTCCTCAATAAATTCGAAAACAAACAACAAACAAACAAATAAATAAATAATTCTATGCACAAAAGTATTTCTAACTTCAATGCCCCTGAGGTAAGTCCGGTAATCCTGCTAATAAGTATCAGATTTCAGATTGACCAATTACCAAATGAATGTATCCAATAACAAATTACTGAGCTCTAAAGCGCTGCTGTGGATAGGAGCTAGCGGGGGACTAGCAGCAGCAATGTCTACAGCTATTCATCAGCCTCTCATACAGCTTAAGACACACATGCAGAGACCTGGGTTCAGACTGGGAGCCTTCCTCCAGCTGAGTAGACGCTACCCTGCTAAGACCCTATATGGAGGATTATTCCAGAGGATGCTAATCATTATGCCAGAGAAAGCATTCAAGATGCAGGGGTAGGTTGCTAGGATACTATATCTATAGAATGGTATGTGTGTACTTATGGAAACCTAATGGTCATATCTAGGCTGATATTCTATTTTAGTTTTTGTATTATCCCTAATTATGTATGCTAAATTAGACCGATGAGACCCGTCAAATTCCCAGGTGACCTCTGGATTAGCGGTCATTTTATTGGAATCCATATACGACAGTAGAGGGGCCACAGAATCTCAAAATTTGTATTACAGTATATGGGGGGGTCTATAGAATATGTCAAATTGGTTTAGGTTGGGAATGTCTTGTGTTATATTTATGAATAAATGACAGATATGAATCAACTCGTTCTTTATTCGAGAGGAGAACAGACCAGAGGCTATCCTACAAAGTAATGAAATGGTTTGTGAGTGGAGGAATTGCTGGAGTTTGTACCGCAATGCTTAACAGTCCTTCTGAGCTAATATCAATACAAGCTACTGTGTGGAGGAACTCTCTACGAGATATCCTCCAGGAGAGAGGGTTTACGTTCTTATATACCGGCTGGACAGCTTGTCTATGCAGGGAAGTTGTATTCGGATGCATTTTCTTCCCGTCAAGACACCTAGCTCAGCTACAACTAGAATGCTGGAGAGGTGAGGAGGCTACGAACATGGACAAGTACCAGGCGGGACTATTCAGTGGGGTCTTAGCCTCATTTTCTACGACACCTTTTGATGTTATGAAGACTAGAATGCAATCAATTAACATCAGAGAGGGCAATAAATTGTCAGTACGGGGAGTGTTTGTATTTATTATCCAGAAGGAAGGGGTGAGATCCCTGTGGAGAGGTGTTGTACCGAGATTGATAGCAGTCCCTTCTCATCTGTCCTTCTTCTACCTCTGCTTTGAATTACTCGCCAGGAATTAAAGTTTGTAGTTATTTATTTATTTGTAAATATAGAGAAATTAAAATAGTTGAATTCAAGGATAATTTGTAAAATTGGAATAGTAGTTACCCATAGGGCAAGGGGACAATACTTGGGGCTCTCCAGATCCCACTTTACCCAACAATAACTTGTAAACTACTAAAGTCCAATTAACCATAGGCAATGCCTGAACATACTTTTCCTAGTCTAGCCCTTGAGAATACGGAAAGCGCCGTCTCTCTCAGGTCGGGGCTATAATTACTCGCTCTGTCTTCCAGTCTGCGTACAAATGCGATCAGAAATTTGAAAGCAAATTCCAAAGCCTCAGAGAATTCGTCAAGGTCTGCAACTTGTTTTACAAACACGAGAATACCAGTTTCAGGAGAGAAGAGAGATGAGAGGCAGAGATCAAGTTGTTCGTCAGGGAGGTCATAGCAGAGGGGGAACAAATCTTGTGCCAATTGTTTACCCTCCTCTCCTCTACGGGGGTGTGAAGATTTGAGGAGAAGGAGCAGAGAAGACAAGGTGTTGGTCAGGGCATCCATCCACTCTAAAACATAGGAATCATAATATCATATATCCATGGTTCGTAGATTCGTGAATGTTGGATTGGAATTTGGAGCAAAAGAATGGAGGAGCGGGGTATCGAACCCCGGGCCTTTCGAATGCAAATCGAACGCTCTACCACTGAGCTACACCCCCGACAATAATATAATAGTTCTTTTGTTGTAAATTATCAGTAAATATGGAAAAAAATTGTAGAAAAACTAGCCAAAGACAAATGTCTATATATGGGCATGTTCTTAATAGTCAGTGGCACCTTGCCAACAGGCACGGCTGGGACAAGTCCTCCTTGGGCACAGGACCCACCCCTTTACCCCAACAGCTGATTATATATAGCATATACAATAATAAAAGATAAATGACTAATAATAATAATAATAATAATAATAATAATAATAATAATAATAATAATAATAATAATAATAATAATAATAATAACCTTAAAGAATAAATATGACTTTAGAATAAATTAATTTACTCTATGAGAATATTTATACATCTTAACACCTCGTCTAACTTCCTTTCTTGTACCTCCATTCGGTCTGTAAGTTCCTTTCTCAGGTCCGTGACAGCTTTCTCCAAAGCTCTAACGTAATCAATTTCGTGCCTTTTGTTAGAAAACAACCGATTATACTCCGATAAATAACGATCTCTTATTTTCCCTTTCTTCAAAATCATTTCCTTGGAATTATTGAGAAGATATTTGAGGCGGTTTAAAGAGTAAATAGACTTAGTTTGTATTCTATTTAGGAATCTCAGACTCCTGTATGTCGTGTACCTCATGGCATGCTGATTAATCCTCTTATAATTGCTAGATATCCTACCGACGAATAGAGACCGCATGACTAGGACAGTTAGGAAGGCAAACGACATGAACACGATAACCATTAACCAGTTGTAAACCTCCAGATAATTGAATTTAATAATAGCCCCCTGTTCTACTAAGAGACGTAAGCCATTGAGTAACAACCAATAATATTCCCCGTCAAAGGAAGTCCGAACACTATCATACTTCCCAGAGGTGTTAAACAAATTTGGGTCGGGTGGAGGTGCTAAATATGAGATATAGAACATTCCAGAAAATTGGAAAAGTGGAATGAAGAATACGATTAGGAATAAAATGCTGTCTTTCAGAGCTTCGTAAAGTGTTTGGAGATATGTACCGATTACAGGAATAACAACAATATGACGTAACAACAACAAGAAGCTGAAGAAGTAAACAAACACTGCAAAGATCGTTTGTATGTTTAGCACACTTGTGAACAAACTTGTTACTCGTAAACAGGCATAAACAAAACCGCTGGTAAGTAACAAATAATCAACAGTGTTTGAACCGTCCGTGATGTATTCACGAACAGCTGATACGAACGACACAATGAACGAGTTATGTGTTGGATTCAATGAAGTGATTTTGTGGGTGTCTCTGTCTAAGGACAGATATTTATTCTTGAAAATAATGCCAAGCTCCACCACTTCAAATATTGAGTGAAACAACCACCTTAGCAACACATATACCTCACAAATATGTCTGAATATTTCAAGTGGAGTAGAAGAATTGTTTGAATTCATAGTTTTAACACCTAACAAGAATGTCACTGAGAGTGCCACTAAATAGACGAAGAGTTCAAGGAACATTACTGACAGGTACAGGTAACCATAGCGGATCATATAGTAGTCCACGTATCCTCGGAGGACAAGGGAGTCGTAGAGGGGTAGAGTGGGGTCTAGCTCACAGAGTAAACTCAGGAGCGTCTGGTTGGTCTTAGAGTCTATCGGCACAGAGTCGATAGGTTCCAGGTGGAGTCGGATCGTGTCCTCACTGGGTCGGGAGATTAGGGTATCAAGGAAGGAGTGAATAGTCTGTGTGTACCCCTGAGAGACTAGTTCACATATTGGGAGGAGGACATGAGGATACTCCCTCCGGTACCGTAGGACACAGTCTAGGATACTGTTAGCTACCTCCTCGTCCTTCGCGTAGAAGAATACTCCTCTGTTTTGTTTGTCTGTCGTTATCAGAGAGGCCTGTCTCCTAACCAGGAGTTCTATCACCTCCTGGTCACCTCGCCTAGCCGCGTATAAGAAACTCTGCCTGCCTGTTAAGCTGGGGTGCTCCACATTAGCCCCCTTGTCCAAGAGGGTCTCCGCCCATAATCTGTTACCGGCCTTGCAGGCGTATATGAGAGGGGTGCAACCTTTCTTGTCCTCAAGGTCTACGCCTGTCTCGGAGGGGATCAACAGCTCCAGGAGGGGGAGAGAGGGAGAGGAACCAACTGCACACATGTGACAGGGAAGTGCTCCGTCTCTGAACTTGACTAGACGACTGTCTGGTACCTTGAGGTCTAGATGAACGGTCCCTGACTGGATGGGGAGCTGCAAGAGATCAGGGTGCTTGCCCAGGAAGAGGGAAAGGAGAGGGAGACACGCATAGTAAGCGGACAGATGCACACAAGGAATCCCAAATAGTTCAAAAGCTGGATTAGCCCCCGTCTCAAATAAGAGGACAGCTACTGGTACATGATTATACCGACATGAGAACCACAGAGCAGTGTCCCTCTCCGTCTCCCCCTGGTGGGAGGGGAGGAGAGACCGGATTGTAGACTCGTCGCCTGATTTAGCGGCTAGTACCAGCAGATCCTGTTTATACGTACAGGTTATTGTACGATACTTCTGGCCAGATTCTCCCTTCCAACTGTAATCCTCTGACATACTTATAGAAGTATATTCCCCTGGGGGTGCGGATAGATGACACCTTGCATGCTCCAGGTTATCGGACAGTAAAGCGCTGGTAAGTTCGGACACGGGTTCGGACTGTGTCACAGGTATTACAGATAGTAGTGGAATAGCTTCTCCCATTGGAGCTACTTTACTCATTTCTAAAGATGAAAATAAATAAATTTCGAATTTGGGATGTGTTATGTCTGCAGTTTGTTTGTTTGTTTGTTTGCACAGATTTGAGATATGTATACTGTGCTCGAATTTACAAAATATATTCACGGCTATATGAAACCAAATTTACTTTCATATGATAAAAAGCAAAATACCATTCACCAAAACCTATCTCCAAGCTCCACCTATATAACCACCCTCCCATTAGCATCATCTACAAATCCAAGAAACACAATAACACAAAAGGAATTCTAAGAATATGCAAGCGTATATGGTAACACGATCCCCTTGCGATAGAGTAGGTACTCGTCTGCCTTATATAACCAAATATTCGACATGAAACTGCAAACATTTGAATTATTAATAACCTCTAATTGCGGTATTAACCTATACGCGGTTAGAACAGATATAAATACGCTATGGATGAGGATAATACGGACTTATCTTATTCAGAGTATAATCCTCTCACAAGGAGTATATCGTTAAATAAACCTAGCAACAGATTTTCGGTGAATTTACGGAGACACGATCCTCTCAGACGATCAACACAGGAACGCTCGCCTCTAACAATTACACACTCTCTTCCTGTTAATACTTCATTGCCATTATCATTAAGCTCAACGATGGACGAAGAAGTGAAAAGAAGATCGAGACTTTTGAGATTTTCCCGAAGGAATTTGAGTAAGAATTCATTACTTATCGCCGAGAAGGCAAAAGACATTACAATGGAGGGTATACTAATGCCAGGGGAGTGTGTGATCACACAGGTAGATGACGCCAGACATGTAAACCCGCACAAAGAAAACGAGACATATGCGATACCCCAGAGGATCAGGGGAACACTCATAAGCACGAACTTCCGATTAATTTTCCTGAGCAGTGAATGTGTCTGTCCGGCTAGCTTACAGCTGAGTAGTGAGACCTACTGGCGGAACATTCCTGATTACTTTTCGGTATCTAAGGGGAACATTCACACCATTCAGACCCTTGTAAAGGGGTCCAGTGAGTACAGACAACTAAACAAACATACAAAGGCAATGAGGATCCCTGAAGAGTTCAGGATTATCTGCAAGGACACAACAAGAGTGCGGTTCTTGATGTCCGAGTGTCCGCCAGGGCAAGTAAAACAGTTCATACATGCTGTACTCCATCACACACAGCCGTGTAGCGTAACGAAACTATTCGCAGTGGACCTGGGGAGATCATGGGACCCAGCTACGATCCCAAGGGGAGAGGTTAAGGTTCCATCATATGAGGAGGTCAGTGACTGGGAGAATGAAGTCCAGGAACTCAAACTTATAAACTGGAGAGTATCAGGTGTGAATTCTAAGTTTGAACTAAGTCAGACCCTGCCACCTTATCTCGTCTGTCCCCTCATGGTGCCGGACAAGTTACTGACACAGACCTCACAGTTCTATCGGCTAGGGAGACTCCCAACCCTCTCGTACTCGACACCAAACGGATTCCTCTTGATGCGGTCTGCTTATTTACTTCCTGAGTATACCGGGGTAACACCTGTATCCATATCATTACTAGAACATAATTACATTAGTTCATGTGTCCAGCAGGACTCGACTAATTCTATGGAGAGGACTGAGTACTTGCGTATTGACCTCGGACAAGATCTCCCGACCCTCGCTCAGATCCAATTCAGCTACGCTAGAATGATGGAGGCTGTTCATGAGGAGGACAAGTGGTTGAGCTCTGTGGAAAATACAAAATGGCTCGAAATAGTGTCGAGTTGTCTGGAACGGGCTGTCCATACGGTAGACCTGTTAAAAACCCAAAAGCAACACGTGTTACTATTGGAACCAGAGGGCAGAGACCTCACGGCACTTGTTGCTACCCTCGTACAGCTGATTTGTGACCCACAGTGCCGGACACTTATCGGATTTGAGACCCTCATCCAAAGAGAATGGGTCGCATACGGTCACCCCTTTTGTACCAGACTTAAACACACCTCTGAGAATCTGGGGGAGGATGACACCAACGGACTCTGTCCGATATTCCTACTCTTGCTGGACTGTTGCTGGCAAATAATGCAACAATTTCCAACAACTTTTGAGTTTAATTCCCAATTTCTGTTGATGATGGCACAAGAAATGTACTCATGTGCCTCTGCCACTTTCCTCTTCAATTCTATCCGACACAAACTGGAGTCTTTAGAACTTCTGGCAGACAACAACCAAACAACATTCCTTTACACCTTCTGGCAACTAAGGAGACTAGTATACCCAACTCAACAGACAGAA